TTTAGTAACCCAAGTCAGTTGCACAACTAAAGAAGTAACTTAAGTATTAAACCTATGAAACATTAGCAACATGAATACATTTGCATTTGTTTCACATAAAACAGTAAAAAAAAGAAAAGAAAAAGGACACAAATTTGTGAGTAAAACATTTACTTATATTTAACTGATTTTTAAAAAAAACTCTATAGACTAAACAAAACTAGAAATAATCAAGTACATTCACTATGTTGGCCTAATTCTCAAAATGGAAGTTATAGGAGTATTCTTAATAGAAAAAAAAAGTATCAACTGTACAGCAAGATGTTGAAGTCGAAAAACAGAAAGGCAGTCTATTAAACTAGGTGCGTGTTAGAAAACCTCACCAACAACCTGTCTTTACTTCCTAATCATATGCTTCCTAGCATTTTCTAACAGCATTAAGCTCATGTATCTAATTTTAGTTCCACCCAAAATATATCATCCCTCTTCATTTAAGAAAAAAACAACTAAGTGAACTAAAATTTTTTAAAAATGGACAATTACTATGAATTACTGAATCTTTACTGATATAGCATAAATAAGTGGGAGCTTCTTTTGCATGAAGATAGTATGAACAATATGGAAAAGCATGATTCTTCATGATACCTACTGTGCTCCCAATAGTTCTGCCTGTGGTTTCTGAGTGTGTCTTGGCCTATTTTTAATTTCATGCACAAAATCGAACTTCATTCATTTGTTGTCAACCACTTCCTTAAATTTACCTCCATCTAACAATACATTACCAAATATAATAAAAGATATGATCTAAGATACAATTTCTAAGCTTAAGGAGCTCACAATATAGTCTAGAAAAGACTGGAATCTATATACATATACACACTAAACCAGTACAATAAGGTAACATACTGTACATGCAATATAAGTGGATATACTCTTTGGAAGTTTCGACACAGGAAAGACTGGTGTCGACTGAAAAAACAGAGAAGGGAAAGTTTTAAAGAAGTGGTGGAATTTGAGCTGGGCTTTAAGACGTGGGTAGAATTCACATGAGCAGGGAGGTAGGGAACATTCTGGATTGCAAGGACAAAAAGGTATAAGGGTGGGAAAAAGGAGGAGGATGCACAGGCACATAGTTCAGAGGCAGAAAATAAAAAAATAAGTAGCAAAAGAGAAGGGTTTATATCTTATCTTTTTTTCTATTTTCTACCTCTAATATCCCCAGGTGGTATGACATCCTCCCATCATTAACAGTGGCAGTGGGCAGCAGTAAATATTTTCACATCTGAGAGTCATAATACTAAAATTAGTTTAGGAAGAAAGGCAAAAAAAAAAAATGGGGTAAGCATTTGTGATTTGATTTTAAATTTTTAGGTGTTAGGTGATAAGGGTGGCAGTAGTGAGAAAGGAAAACACTGACGGAAGTAGGAAAGTTCAAAACTGAAGCCAATGTTTTTCAACAAGATGAGATTTATTTTAGACATACTGACTTTGAAATGATAAACACCAAAAGGCCCAACTAGAGATATAAGACTGCTATTCAGGAGATTTGAGGGCCTGATAAATATTTGGGAGTCATCGGCATGGACGACAGGGGCTAATGAAAAGGAAGGAATTGGAGGGGGCAGGGGAGTGTGTCAGTCCCCAGCAAAGACAACAGAAGCAAAGGGACAGAGTACGAGAATATCTAGGAGAATATAATCCAGGAAAGCAGTAACCAATGGATTGGTCCTGAGGAGAAAAATTAAAGCACTGTCGTATAGGTTAACAGCACACTAAGTAGGATTACTGAAAGGACAGGAAGGAAAAAATGGCCACAAAAAAACAACAAAAATATAGAAAAAGAGTTTGGTAGCTAACGTGGCAGCAATATCTAGGGAAGAAAGGGTATTTTCAAACTGGTGAGTCCTATGTGCACACAGCCTGAAGTGAAGATACAAGTCACAGATAAAGAGCTTGGCAACGAAGGGAGGGTACTAAGGAGATGACATAAGGTACAGAACACTATTACTAATCAGAACATTTACTGAACTCTTACCCAGTGCCAATCACTCTGTGAGGCACTTTACCTGCATTATCTCATTTTATTCTCACAGCAACTCTAAGTGTGTGGTATTTTTATTATCCCACGTTGCAGAAGAGAAAACCAAGGTGTAGAGCTGTTAAATTACTTAGGATCACAAACCGAGGAAGAGCCAGAACCGGGAACTAAATTCGAGTTTGTCTGATACCAAGTTGTTCCTATAAACTTCTTTGCAAAACTGAAGAAAGCAGACATATGAGGGTGAATTTCTAAATGTTTGTTGACTACTCAGGAGAAAAATTTTAATAAAATTGTGCACAGGCAGATTAAGGTAGAAAAAAGTGCGGGTCTACCTTCTCTCCCTAACAACAACAACAAAAGCCCAAACCATAAACATTCGAGACAGAATGGTCTTTTATAGCCTTTTCCCCTTGGATTACTTTGGGCCTAATTTCTCCGCAGAACTTGATACACTAGCATTGCTTATCATGAAATTAACTTTGAAGTTAATCATTGGTTTGGACTTCAAGAAAAAAATCTGGAACTGAAAGTTTTCAACATGTAATTCACGGGACAATAGAGAGAAAACAAAAATTTAGAATTTAATTATATGGACAATTTCTAATTTTACTGAATTAGGAAAACTATATAAATGCAAAACAAACAAAAACAAACTAGTCTTTTGGCACTTTGGTCACATTTAAAGAAGTTTTGAAAGTTTAGTTTCTGCCTTGAGATATGAGCTCATATAATCACTACCTATGACTTATGAATATGGAAAAAAGCAAGAACACTCGGAAAAGACAATTTTGGATTAGGCAGACACTCACTGATAGGTCAAAATTCCCTTCTCCCCTGATGTCTTCATTTTGGCATTTCTCATTACTATCACCATTATAAAGCAGCGTCAAAAAGCAGTGAAGTACACATTCTTTGATTCTGCTATTTACTAATAGCGCCAGTAAACCGCCTTTTGCCAGAGAAATTAGAAAATAAGCACTAGGAGTTGTAGTTACTTAACAGATTTTAATTATCTATGTGTTTCTTAGTCTATGTCTCATTTCAAATGGGTAAATCCAAGTTAATTCAATAGGTAACGAAATCCATTTATTACTACTTCTGGTAAATTGTCTTGTGCTTTAGAAAATAGAAAATGATCACTAAGATGAAAAGTTTTAATTACTTGTAGATGTCAATTATCTGTGTCATTCTTAGCCCAGTGTCTCATTACCATGGATAATGCAGACATGTGTATTGGAATAAAATGAGTAATGAACCTATTAATGCAAAGCTTTAATTCAATGTTCTTTTTTTAATGAACTTATGTTCGACCATTACAACTTGATTTGTACCAATAATGCCTTTCACTTACAGCACCTTATGCAGAAAAATTAAACAATTTAGACTTCTTCTGCCAATCCTACACTTGAGATTTAGCAAAGCTTAAGATTTAACATATACTGTACCATCACCACTAAGAAAGATAAGCAAATCATGAAGAAATTTTGACTGACAGTAAAACTATAAGGAATCAAATATTCAAACATAGCTCATTTAGCCTAAAAGGAATCATGTAAATTTTAATGTTTGTCTAAACTGGCTAGTTAAATTCACATCCTCAAAAGATGCAGTAGGGAAAACCAACATGTACACAAATAACAAAATATTGTCTATCGCAAAGAACTTCATACTTTGAAATATTATCTGGTTAAATTTTGAAGCTGTCCAAGATTTTATCGGTAACTATATCTATTTCTTCAGATTCAGAAAACTTTTGTAATTATTTTTTCTTCTATTCTTAAACTATTTTCAGCAATAACTGCTTAAAGTCTGTGAAGCTCAAAAACTACACAAAAATAACATAATTGACATAACCCCACTACCCCACTACCACAAAGAGAAATATATTAGTGATGATCTCTTGACTTCTGTACCACCTTTAGGAAAATTATAGTATATATAGTAAATGCAGTCATTCAATACGAGAATCAATTTCCAATAAGAAGTCTCTCTGGCTTCTTCCTTAATCCCTCAGTAAATCATTCTCCCCACCCTAGCATCGTCTACCTGGTAGACAATCTCTGGTGAATGTCTCACAGCAAAACAAATCAATGCATCTAACAATTTAGAGCTTTCACCCATTTAAAACTGAGATAAGCAGGGAAATCCAACACACAAGTAACATGTTAAGAAATGACCATCCATGAGCTATTCATGGCAACTGCTGCCAGTGCTTCTACTCCCAGCCTCCTGTGTATGCTGGTGCAGCATTCAGGAATCAGTGCCCCAGTAACATGGTCACATGCAATGCTTACTGTTCAAATTGCAACACTGCCTGGTTTTCTATATTTTTAATGTTTGAAATACCCCTTTTTGTATCATTTCTCAGTCAGAAACTGAGGTTTTATATTTTCTATTTGTAAAATGAAGCTTCTTAACATAGCACTTAATGAAAATGAATTAAATCTCTTTAAGCCAAAGTTTAAGATACCCTGGCTACTGAGCAACTTATAAAATACTATTTTAAATTGTTCCATATCATTTCCACCTTACTAGTATTATGAAAAACAGTCTTTTAAAATACTAAGTCTCCTAGCTAACAAAATCTCACATCTATGAAAAAGCAATTTGCATTTTCATGGTGATGATGACGATTTTACTACTCATTTAATTTTACTGCTGTAATAATATTTACATCATAAGTCAAACTTACCTTTAATGATATAATAAGTAGGTAAATATTATCTTTAAAATACTTTCAAAACTATAAATTTATGATGAAAAATAATCCTTTCTCATTGCCGTATGATCTTCGCAGGCCAGAATTCAGAGAAAAACAATCATTGTACACAAGATAAATATTTATATCACATATACAAATATAACAGGTATTCTTTGACCTATTCATCAACATCACAACTATCACATAGTAAATGACCCTATACATCTAAAATGAATTCTCCTAATTCAGAAATAGAACTGAATTTTACAGTTCACGTACCTGAACCTCACACGTCCTCTGTTTAATGGTATCTTCTTTCTCCTTAAGGTCCTGTTCCACATTATTCTTTTCCCTAGAAGACCAGCAAACAATGCAAGAATATTTGAGAACATCAGCTACAGCCGGTATGGTTATCCATCCTCCTAATCCTGAATCGCTTTTTAAATACATAGTGAAACATTCAATTTTTAAATGAAGGGCAGATTATTCTACCCTCTTTTAATTATTTATGGAACAGAAATCAATATAAGCTCTGTTTGTTAAAAAAAAAAATCGCTTTCTCACTAAAATGTGATAAAAAGAGAATAGATTAAAAAAGGAAGAGGAGAAAAATAATCAATGAAACACTCAGGTTTCACTGATCTCATTGTTGCTATGGAAATGCTGTCCAATGAAAATTGCTGGTAAAAAAAGGAGGGGTTGCATCAGCTCTGTAAGCTTAACCCTTAAGTACCCTGTTAAATCAAATGAAAATGGCTAATAGAAATAGTCAACAATATTAAGGAAAAAGACATTTACTGAAGTGTTAATTTCCCCTTAAATCACTGGTGTGTACCAATTTTAGAATGAAACAGAGAGAATATGGAAAAAGGATTGCCAATACACAGGCCATTAGCTCTATCAAATACATCTGCTAAAAAAGGCTATTTTGGGATCTCCAATCAATCTCAATTGATTAAATACATAAAATAATGTATAATAAGTAAAAAAAACAATCACATTAGCAATTAACTCTTTCTGCTCTTCAGATCAAACATGCTAGGATCCACCTTAACTTTGAAATATCATTATCTAAATTCTTACATGCTTCCATCAGAGGTGGATTCCTAATGAATGAATCTTAAGCAATCTTAGATTCAGAATTACAAAATAAAGTTATTTCTTTTGATGTAATAAATTTAACTGCCATTTGTATTAAAATCACACACACACACACACGGAGTTTCCTTCACTTTCCTTTCTTTTCTACAAAATAAGAGAAAAAGCCATAGAATTCTGCAGCAATACATTTTTGGAAGTGGGGGCAAGGGAGGTAAAAGAAAGCAATATGAAGAAGGGAGGATGGCATTCAAGAAGGAAATCCTCCAGACTAACTACGGCAGTTTCCCCTTAGAGCTTCATGACCATATCTCAGTTTCATCCCAGACATAACCCAAACATAAGCTCAGGCTCCATTAAACTGTAGCATAAAAGGAAGTGAGAAAATTATACCAAAGGAGATACTTAATGGACAACTGCATGCTACATTTATATTTCTCACCTTTTGAGGTGAGATTTTAAACGTAGACAAAACTCAACTGTTTTGGATATGTAGGCACAATGTTTTTAGGATTTATATGGGAGAAAGAAAGCATAAGAATAAAGCCTCGGTATACTGCTACTTTTAAACACTTGAGATGGCCAAGGAGCTCACTAACCGTTTGTCAGATGGGTTGCAATGTGGGTCACGATGTCGCGGAGATTTTAATAAACAGTCCCTTACCATACGAATCATTGTTGCAGCCTGTTCCTCCCATACCTCAATCTACTTATTATAGAAAGGTCATACCCCACTTTCAGTCCTTGTAAAATTAGGTAAAATAGGAAAATAGAAAAACGTAGGAAGAAAAACCTAAATATACCCCACAAATTCTGTAAGCTCACTCTTGGAAATTTTTTCTTTCCTCCTTATGTGAGCAGAAGAGTGTTTTCAGTTCCGCTGCAGCATGCCAGAGATAAGTCACATGAAAAACTAGCCTCCTCCCCCCATCTCAAATCTTCAGAGGCATTCCACACAAGGTCAATATCAATTCAGCTCCTGGTTTCCCACAGTAGACAATAACAAAAATAAAAAAACATTACACAGTATCAAAGATCAGCACTGCACACACTAATGAGCATGTTTGTATTCAATCCTTTCTGCTCCACTGTTAACTGCTTTACTGACTGTGTCTGCTCAGATCAAGTGTACCTGCAGGAAAACAGGGCTGCAAGACAGTAAGCTGGCTTAAAGGAGACAAGACAGAAGAATGGGAAAGCAGAAGAAGGAAGCTTGCTTGGTGAAAAAGGAAACAGATTACAAAGGACTCTCGGTTCTAACAAGCAAACATAGTCTATATTTGGGTAAAATGGAGGAAATTTAGCAAATACAAATTTCTCTTCATAATTTTGGGTGTAGGTGGGGAGTAGTGGTGATGTCTCCAAATATATCCTGAAAACCACTCCCAATTAAATAAAATATGAGACTCATTAATTTTTCTTAGTATTGAAATCCATTAAATTTAAATTTTTGATCTATTTTTACCTAGTAAACATCTGGTCTCATAAATTCCTTTTATCATTAAAGCCAAGTAGTATAACATACACTACTAAACAGGAAACTTTTAAAAAAATAAAATTGTCAGTTATATTACTTTCTATAAAAAAAATAACATTACAATTGAAATTGTCCTATAAATCAGACTGAAAATCAAATAATTTTGTCATTAACTTAGATTATAATTTCAGAGATGCCAAATTGTTATGCTGTAGTATTCCACAACTCAACCTCTACAGCTATCCTTCTCATTTCAGGCAAGTAAAAACATCTAAACACATTTAGGGACACTAAGGATGCCTGGTCATATTTCTTAGATTCTTCTCTCTTTCAAATTAACACATATATTTTTCTAAAGGTCATGGATGTATAAGTAATACAAAGCATTCTGCTTAACATTAGCAATTTAAACATTTCAATAAAAAATAATACTTAGATGCAGTTTCCTAAGAAGCCCACCAATATAGGTGGATAAGACAAACAAAAGATGTATTCTAAAAATAGGTATGTGAACATTTTGCCCAAAGCACTGTTCATCTTGGATGTCATGATAGGAAATAGCTATTGCCTTCACCTTAGTAATTTCCAGAAAAGGAAAATGAAATGACCCTATACACCCTCTATCTTAGACTATCTACCTGGTCCTATTCACTCCTGAGATGCTAGTACACCCTGAGGAATCCACAAATACCAAAGCCATAAAGGCCAGGCACAGAGCTTCCTGGTATTTCGAAGGCTGACTGTTCTGGTTCCATGGAAACCAGTAGCTGAACCAGCAAGGAGAGCAAAGCCCAAGCTAGGCTTTTAAAAGCCTAAAATTGAAAACTTCATAAACCTACTATGAAGTGGTCAAAAGCTATTCACAAGGACCGTTAGGCTCAGGGACCTGAGTCCATGCAGTTCACTTCCATTTAGCCAGGTTCTGTTTATGGAGAAAAAGAAGTGAGCCATCTGTCTTAATTTTAATATAATCCCAATACTGTCAGAGCAACAGGATTAAATCATCTTCAAAGTCCTTCGCAGATACAGTTTTATGTCTTGTTTTGTGAACATAAGCATCTATTATTTTCCAATTGGAAAACAATAAAAACTAGAAACCAGTTGAAAACCAGAAAGTTGTGAAACCCATGAAAATCTATTTTTCAATCCTAAGGCTTATTTATAAAAATCCATTGGGGAACATTTAACCCTAAAGATTCTCTTATTATTAGGTAGCTTAACTGCCAATAAATCTAACAAGGAAACAGAAAAGCATGCTTTTTTCATTATGTAGTCTTCACTACGGCATCTGGGTCTTACGGAAAGCAAGAAAAACAGGACTAAAAACTAGAGACCTGGATTCTAATCTGGCTCTGCCCTGAAAGTTTTTCTGACTCTGATTAAGTCATCAGCTTTCAGGGCTGCAGTCTTATTTTTCATTATGCAGATGCTACTATCTCTACTATCTTAAGATTTACAAGACAAAATGTACAAGATGACATGTAATTAGAAAAAAAAGTAGGCTCTGAGCCTATGCTTTGGTTGCTTTTTACTTATAATATTAACATTTCTTATAATTTTAAGTAACATTGATAAAGTAATTTTTAAATTTGTTAAAGGAAATTATGAGTTACAAAAAAAATTTAGAAAACATTGATCTAATACACAGTTGTAGAATATGTATTCACTGAAATCTCTGCCCAAAAATCTTGTCTAAATATTTGAAATAATCCAACAACAACTCTCTACTTTTAGAAACTCATTATACAGTTTTCAAATCATACAACTTGGAGTGAAATAGTTCAGAATTCAAATGCCGGCTCCATCACACATGATCTTAGTTAAATCACTATAGTAGCAGCTATTTGTTCTGGCCATTCTTTCCTTCTTCTAGGATCCAGCAATCCTCTGAGGAGATGCTCTTTTCCCCTCAACTATCATCTTTCTATCCATACAGGTCAAACAGAAGATGCCATCTTTTTATAGAATCAAACTCTGAGCAATGACCGGCCAAGGACTGGCTTCTGGCCAAAGCTCAACTGGTCATAGTACTCCACCCCACAGTCACAGGAATTAATACAAAAACAAGCCCACGACCAAAGCTAAGGCAGTCGTAATCTTTAGCTAGGATGCCTTTATTTGGAACTAATAGAAAACTACTATTACCACTACCATATCTTCTACTACTACCACTACTACCATTACACCACCACCACCACCACCACCGCTACTGATTACAGAAACTAACATTGATTAAGCATTTACTACATGATAGGTGTTACATGATAAGCAGTTTACATGGATTATCTCATTTGTTCTTAAGAAAAATCATTCCTGTGAAATGATGAAGATGGACAAATATGAGTCCAGGTGCTGCTGGCATCTGTTGTCCCATTTAAAGAGTAATAGAATTTCCATACAAAGAAGCTGAGGTGAAAGGCAAGGAGACAGAGTCTTGGTAGGGCTGGTTCCTGTCACCCCTGTGATAGTTAACTGTACATTATTAACTTTGCTAGGCTATGGTACCCTGGTATTTGGTCAAACACCAGTCTGGATGTTGCTGTAAAGGTATTTTTAGATGAAATTAACATTTAAATCAGTAGACTTTTAGTTATTACCCTCCATAGTGTGGGTGGGTCTCAGCCAACCGGTTTAAGGCCTTTAGGGGGAAAAAAAAAACTGAGGTCCTCTAAGGAAGAGGAAATTCTATCTCCAGCCTCTTCAGACTTGAGCTACAACATCAACCCTTCCCGGGGTCTCCAGCCTACCAGCCTGTCCTACAGATTCTGGACTTGCAG